GATATTTTAAAAGGTTATCCTTGAGAAAAAAAAAAAAAAAAAGAAAAGCAGGAGAGAGGTAAAGAAAGGCCATTAATTCATCAAGTTACCCATAACAGAAAAAAAATCATGACTAAAGAAATCAGTTCAAAGACGAGCCATTCTCAAAACAGAAAGCTTTGTTTTTACATTCATTTTTGTTTTCTGCTTTACCTCCTTCATATGAATACTTCATTGACACTTCATTGTACTTTGCCTTGGCATTTTTTAAGGATTCTTCCGTCCATACACGCTCCATTTCACCTTGCAGCTCAGTTCAGTCAGACTGATGCGGGGGAAACCACCCCACACACAACCCAGACCGCACAAAACCCAGTCCTGGAAACTTTTCCTGTTGGAAACCTTTGCTCACATGAGGATCTTGCTGCCATCACTGGACTGCTGGAGGAAGCTGTTCACGGGACCAGGTCCCACTGTCCCAGAATCACTGCAGGCAGTCCTGGAACCACGCACACAAGTACCATTAACCCAGGTCTCTATCCACAGCTAATTTAGTACTTACCCATCTCCAAAATGCTTTCTAGTTCAGAGTCACAGGCATTTGTGATTTGTTTTTTGGTGTGTTGGGTTTTTTTCCTCTTAAGAAGTAGTTAGATTTCTAAGTCTTCTTAATACAGAAATAAAACTTCAAGATGTACTTTGTATGTTTGGCAAACAAACACTTTGCTGTTTTACCATGTAGTAAATTTAAAAATCAACTCTCTTCATTGTTTTAACAAACCCTCCTCTAAAAGATAATTAAAACCACTTCCCAATATACAACCAAAGTTTTATTTTTATAGTCTATCTTCAATTATGGCATAATCCTTTTTTTTTGTTTTAAACCAGTGAAATATACAAATCACACGAGACAGAAATATGTACATTAAATGTACAGAACAGAGGAAAGGACATAGAAGATTTACATATCTGAATGACAAGTAAAATATTTTACATTAAATAGTGTTTTAATAGCTAGGATCATGAGATTCAGTTCTGCTCAGACAAAAGTCACTAGAAAGGAACATGAGGTGATTCAGCAAATGAAAAACAAGATCATGATTTTTGTACAATAAAAACCAAAGTGACATATTCAATGAATTAGTGCTTTATTTATTTCTCTTACTTTAAAGATACTCTTTGCAAACATCTGAAGATGAGGGGTAAATATGTCCTTGTACAATAAATTAAGAGCAATAAAGCGCCATTAAGAAGCTGATAAATGATCAAGATGAATTTAATGATACAGCTTAAAGGCTTGTGAAAAGGCAAGGCTTTAGTACAACTAGGCTAAAGTGAAAGATTTTCCTCACTTGGTATCTGCAAAACTATTTTCTTTAACTTGTTGAATGGGACTGAGTTGAAAAGAGGCATCTGAACCAAAGATGAAACCCTGTGTAACTACGCAGAATAGGGGGGAACGCATATTGTTTGACAAATAACAATTTTTCAGTTCAAAAACTGAAAAGCAAGGGCTAAATGCAGCACATTTTGGAGTTGGAAGGTGTCTCCTTTCACCAATAATCAATAATGCCCTTAACATGAGAGTGGAATAGAAGCGATCTCCAGACCAGTAATGACTCAGGTGCAGGGTGCTGCCTCTACCAACCACGCAGGCAAGTCCTAAAGTTGGGAAGAGGCTGACTTCTTTGTGATTCTCCTTAGAACTTTTGAATGATAAAAGCTTAAAAAAAAAAAAAAAAACAAAACAAAACAAAGCCAAACACAAAACAACAACAAAAACAAAAACAAACAAAAACCAAAACAAACAAAAAACCATCCCAAAATAACAAAAACAAAACCACCAAAAGCTTGGAATCAATCTAAAAACCTGAAGAGATCTGAAAATGAGGGATGAACTGCCCCTGTAATTTTAGATGTTTTATTATTTTCTAAATCATTAAAATATATATGTACAAAAAGCTTTGAAGTATCAGACACCAGCAGACCACAGTTCTCCCATATATATGTAACTGCTCAAGTATAGTCTGAACAGTTCTAGTGTATATCTGCAATATATTATCTAAAGCATGTGTATTAAAGACATAGGATGATAAATTTGGTATTGCTGCAATGTTTCATTGAACTATAATAGTCAGTTAATGTTATTAAAATATGAAACTATTGTATCCTTGAGTGAAAGCGTTCCCAAAATCTGTGAAAAAATAAAAATCAATCATTCCAAGAGCGGATATCTAACGATTTATTTTCTCACATAAAATTAGAGGAGTTATTTGTCAAGCTGTGTTTTGAAAGACAGCCAGCTATTACACCATTTTAAGGCATTTTCAAATTTGGGGAACTCTACTTTCCATGGGCTTTCCAGGCTGGGAAACCAAAGCTGTTTGTAAGCAGTGCAGCTCCCCTTGCCCAGCTACAGTGCTCCACACAGCCTGCCCCGGGGCTGCTCCACACTCAGCAGTAGGGAAGTGCTGCTCTGTCAGACGAGACACTCCAAATCACCTAACGAGGCCAAACTCTGCCTTGAAGAATATCTTCGTTATTCACCAAGGCAGATTTTTTCTTTTTTTTTTTCTTTTTTTTCCCAGTCTTGGTAGGTTTTGGAACCAGCCCCTGTGACTCAGGGATAGCGCAGTTAAAGCCTTTCTGATTCTTTGCTCTTTGCCCTCTGGTGACACTGCGGGAACAGTCAGACATGCAACCAACACAGCACTTCATGCTGGATATACCCCTTATTTACAGAGCCCTACATGCACTGAACAGCTTTATATACCCTATTCTAGCAACTTCTAGTGTCTGAAACTAAAAGTCATGGACAGGTCTGTGTGTTCCTCACATCCATAAGGATTGTTCTAGCATCCCAAGCACATTACATGGTTGCTCTGCCTACTGCACATGTATTACGTTCCATGGGACTAAATTAGGATATGTCGGATTTTCCCCTCAAACTACTCTATTGTTTGTAAGAAAAGTCAATTTTTTAACTTTGTAAAATAAATATTCTCAGATTCTCGCCCATTATTGCCAAAAATATAAGCCTAACACAGTTCTGGGATGGACACAGAGAGGGTTTCCAGGCACTTCTCTTTGCAACCTTTATACTTTTCTTTTTTCTTTTTTTTTTTTTCCCTTCCCCCGCCCTTTTTTTTTTTTTTTTTTTCTTCTTCTTCTTCTTCCTTTTTTTTTTTTCTTTTTTTTTTTTTCTTTTTTTTTTCTTTTTCTTAAAAGAAGACAACAACTCATTGGACTCTATAAATAAAAAGTGGAGATAGTCCTGTGGAAAGGGAGAGGGGCCTGCGCCCCTCGCTGGCAGGCGGCTGCAGTTCCTCCCACCTCGTCCTGTCCCCCTATTTGCACACAAACTGGTCCACGATCTCTGTGCACAACTTGCATTTCACGTAGCAGCACCAGTGGAACTTGCAGTGGCAGCGCTCCCTCTGCACCGTCTTGAACTGGTCGTACCCTCGGCCGCAGCACATGAGTTCGCAGCCGTCCATGCCCTCCGAGGTCTTATTGCACAGGCGGCCCTGGGTGCCCAGGGAGCCGGTGCTCTCGTTGCGCACGCAGTAGTCGGGGCTGGGGTCGATGTACACCAGGTCGTGGATGGTGGGGGCGTTGAAGCGGCTGTTCACCTGCACCAGCTTGCCCCGGCTGTTGAGTTTCATGGCGGCGGCGCTGTCGTATTTCTCCTTCAGGGCATCGCCTACCTTGCGGAAATCTGCGAGCTGCAGCCAACAGGTCTTCAGGCTACAGGAACCGGAGACGCCGTGGCACTTGCAGGCCACGTCAGCCAGGTTGTACACCGTCTGGAGGAGTCAGGGAGAGAAGCAAAAATGATGATGAAAGACTAGCGTGGCTGTGAAAGCATTTATTCCCCTCATTTCCTGCCCTCTGTCGTATTCCCACTGGCCCTTCCATTGTATTCACCTTAACATTCTCTCCCCCTCCTCCAATACACTGGGAAGGAAGAGCAAGTGAGCTGATACACATGCACCTCCCACCACCCCAAACAGCCAGGAGGAGGAGGGGAGCACTCTCACCAGCCTCTCCCCACCACTGAGACAGCCACAACAGCACATACACAGCCCAGACAGCAGCATCAGTCAGGCTGCACTCAAATTTTAGGAATTTGCTCTCACGCCAGCAAAGGATTTTGCTGTTTCATTGAGAAATGTAAAACATCCCTTTATTTTCTATCTGAGTTACTCTCCCTATTGATCTCTGCTTGAGGCTGCAATTAGGGAAAGAGTTAAGATTCCTCTTGCTCCTGGCTCAGCTGCAGCTGATTGTCTACTCTTGGCTCGGCATCCTCCTCCTATCCCAAATACTGCTCTGGAAGAGAGACTTCATCCAAGAAGAAACCCCCAAACACCTATGGGTGGAAGACAGAGCTACATAGCAATATCCTCTTTACAAAGCTTTGGCAGCGAAACCTTAGTCATTTGCCCTGTACAAATAGAAATAAGAGTCAGTGTTGACACTGCCCCAAAAATCCTGGGGTCTGACACATTAGATGATACTGTAGACAACTTCCACCCAGCAGTTACAGAGAGTTTTAGCGCTGCCAAATGGCACTGCAAAGATGAGGCTGAGGAAGGAAAAAACTGCTCGAGTCTCCGTAAGCAACTGTGAAAGTGTAATTTTTCTTCTTGCTAATAGTAATTGGCCTGTCCATTGCTTCCAGACACCTTCCTCTTACATTTAAATACTATTAATTTTCAATTATCTTTCATCCTCCTTCACCTTAGAACACAAGTGTAAAGTCTCCAGCCGACTATTGCTGGCACTTCAAGCTCTAGGAAAATAATGATTTTGGCTCTTCACATTGAGAGTATTAAAAAAAAAGAAAAGTTTACACCCATTCATTTAAGGCATTTTTGAGATTAAAGAAACCATAAAGACATGTTCAACCACAGAAGACCATGTTTCCTAATAGCATGGAGAAGCTCTTTTACATCCTCTTAAAGCAGGGAAAGAAAAAAGGTCAGAACAGTCCTGCGGCACGATTCCAGCCTGGGAAGCCCAGCACATCCCTCCTCCTTCCAACACACACTGTCCTGGTTGGAAATACCAACTAATAAAATTCTGTTCTACAGAGAATCCACAGCGAGCAGGGCACTTTTCATGAAACAATACAGAGGGAAACACAACAAGTTTTGGTTCCGGCCTCCCCCATGAGGAAGGCAATAGGACTGTCAGACAACCAGAAGCAACACAAATTCCTGTATTCCCCACCCACCCACACCCTGTATTTGCCATCTTCTTGTTCCGTGCATCAAAACAAAGACAAGCCATGGTGGTCGGTCTTTGCCTCACTGAGGCACATCTTTCCCGAAAAGGAGGGACACGGAGGAGAGAGGAGGGAGACTGTTCTGGAATCACTTACCCTTCTCCCGGCCTCGTTGTTGTGCAGGTTCATCATGATCCGGGCGCTCTCGTAGGAGCCTCGCTGGTAAACTCTCTCACGCTCCCGGGCGTCCACGAACTCCTTGGCAAAGCGGTATCCGTACTCGATGTTATCCCCGCAGCCACCCCAAAGCCAGTCCCGGGGCAAGTCCTTGGGCCGTGCAGCTCGGCTGCAGCCACAGGAGGAGAGCTCTCCCTCCCGGCAGGCGCGGCTCATGGCATTGACCACGCCGGCCGCGCTCACCGCGTAGGTGAACGCCGTCTCCCGGCTGCCTGCACAGAGAGACAAGTGGTGTTAGGGGAGAGCCCACGCACACCACTCCCTGCCCACTGAGGAGCTGGGAGGACAAAGGCTCTCCAGGAGCCACCAAAAACTAATATGCCTACTAAAAGGTAGAGTAACCCTGAACCAAGCACCCCAAAATGTCTCCACTCTGAAAGAACCAAGCAAAACCAACCCATTAGAGCACACACAGCATTTGTGAAGAGCAGAATTCACTTGTTATTCATGTTGGTGAAAGCCTGGATGAGAGGGCAGAAAGGAGGTGGGTCAGGGCTGGAGCACAATGCCAGCAGGGCCAAAGCAGCCATGCCTGCATGTGAGGGGCGGGAAGGGAAACAAGCTTCCTGTCTTTCAGAAGAAAGAGATGTTAAATACAACTTTTAAAAGTCTGGTTCTTAAATTACTACTTCTCAAACATGATTGATGCACTTCACCCACTTGTTCCAATTTATTTAAAGTTCAAGCGTTTCACAAAGCCTCCTGGTATCAAAAGAAACATGCAGTAGAGCAACACACAACTTTCCACCCTACACATTAGCCAGACACTTCTGTAGGAGACTATTTAAAACTAACGACAACCTGTGCTGTTTAGTATCCACCACTTGAGCTCATGCGAATATGGCAAGTGAGTCCATAGACAATCATCTTTACAAATTACAGGGAAGCAAAAGCCTTTGGCACAAGGCAGCCTTGAAGGTTTTCTCCTGCATCTGGTGCCCTTAAATGGAAATGGAAAACCTCAAGTTTCAAACTTTCGGAAGAAAAAGTTACAATACCCACAACGTAAGACATGGCCACGTACCATCCTACTGACAGTATCTAGTCCCATCTTATTTAAAGTCTGACTTTCCCAATCACTTTTCCAAGGCTGCCACAAGTTACTACAACTAGCAAAGCTTTCAGACAAACAAACACAGAACTTGCACCAAAGAGCACACTTGAGGTTTGCTTTTCTTCTTAAGAGAAAGCATCCCAATGGGTCTCTTCAAGAAAGATTCCCAGAATGACTGAGAATAGACTAAATATTTTTTTTTCTGTTTATAAGTTAAGTTTTATTCCTAATGTTTAGTCCAATCAATAAATCAAGCTAGCTTTAATTTTGATTTTACATGATTTTTCTCAAGGAACAGCATTGGCCTTTGTAAAATTAGGGCTTTAAGAGCCTACGTTTTGGGCAAGTCATGTATATTCAGCCAGCAACATTTTGAGGCAAAAACTCTTTGTACAAGATGTACCATGACAGGTCAAATCTAGTAGGAGCTTTCAAGCACTTATGAAACATAAATAATTTGCAGTTTGGTTCGTATTTATTATCAAGCTGACACCATGGTCAGAGCAGCTTTGTTAATATAACAGCTGTCATCCACTGGATTATTTTAGTAATAAATGCTGGTTTTAAATGGGAAAAATCAGAAATCTTATGTTGGGAATGATGAGACTTAAAGAAGATGAGAAGCACTTTTCTACTTTACTTACAATTATCTATTCGCACAGCCACCTGTTCATGGAAGTATTTACACGAATTATGGGTATAAAGGGTTACAGGAGTAGCCTTTTCAGTTAAAAATAATTGGCTTTATGCAGTGACTTAGCCCTCGCATTTACTGCAAACTATAGCAGGGGGAACCTCATACAGATTTTAATGTTCCCCTTTGCTCTGTAATACATATTTTTGGATTAATTCCTCAAGCAAAATTTCCACTAGTTTGAGAGGAAAGAAACGTGGTCTGCTTTGGACCACAGGACTCGCCTCTTCCATTCCATTTTTGTTCTTTTTCATGTTTCATCAGCTCACGCTTTCACATGGTTAACTATGTCACCTATTGCAGGATTTAAACTCATAAAGCTGACTATTTTTGACTAATTTTCATTATTAATTTGGAACAAATCTTGAAGAATTACTCTTAGTGGGAAGGAGAAAGAAAGGCTGGGGTACAGAAAGGAGAGTTGCCCCCAATTTCCCTCCCTGAACATTAAGGCAAATTATAAAATAGCATCAGCTGCTGAAGTAGATTTCAAGCCAACACTGCCTCAAGTCATCGACCCAGGAACACACTAAGAGTGATGGTTTCACATGGATGAGTTACTCTGACTTTTCTTTTTTTTTTTTTCGGTCTTCAAGCACAACTGTGCTTTCCTTCACTGTCAAACATATCTGTCTTTTCCCACAGTCCAGGATTTCTCTCTATTGTAGCCATGGCAAGGAAACACACATTCCAAACACGTTCAAGTCCCCTCTCTCCCATATATATAAAACATAGAAATGGAACTGTTCAATATACACACACTGTAGGAAGCCACCCACAGAGCAAGGAGCTGAGCTTTACACTTGATCTGAATAAGTCTGCAAGAACAGAACAACTTTTTTTTTATATACCTGAACAGAAGATACAAAACATTCTTTGTCTTGCACTTTAAAAGCATTCAACATCAGGCTAAAGGCAGAATAAACTGGACCCCAAGTACACAGAGCTGCTGGGGGAGGACCCAGTCATTTTATTTTCTGTGTGCAAAGCCCAAGTACAGCCTGCCCAGGGCTGACGGGCACGAGATGGGGCAAGGTGGGGAAGGCAGGGAGGGCCACGGCCTGACCTGGGAACCAGCAGCCAAGGAGAGCAGTGCAGAACACAAGCCCTAAAATTTTACAGTTCAATAAGCCACAGAGCAAGTTTCCAAACCCAATGCTAGGTTTATTTGTACAGCTTTAGCTAACTGTGCATGGTAAATCCTGGAAGAAAGACTGTCCATTGACACATGGGGCCATGGCTGTGCTGTGGGGCAGTGCTGTGCCCGGGTGCTCTCTGGGGCACTGCCAACAGCAGATGGCAAAGCCCTCCCAAACAATGTGCATTCAGACCCTGACTGTCACCTTGCACACTGGTGGGAGTAAGGAGTGTCTGACAGTCCCTGACATGCCACATTATGGCAGGCTGAAATAAATTGAGTCGGGCTCTGAAAGTGCCCACTCTTCCTTCCCCTCAGAGGAACACCAACTGGTCATTACTGAGGGTCAGCATGAAATAATACAAATGTCATCCACACCACCTTCCTTGCTCTCAGTGAACACACTCTTTACACTCTAATTCTTGAATATGGCTATTAACCTTGCTTCCATCTGCAATTAGAATAAGTGGCTTAATTACATGATGAATTGCTGTGTAGACATCAGCTAATACAGTCATATTCATCAGAAGGGTGCGGCAAAGTTATTTAACTTGAAAGAAACTACCTTTAAATAGACCTGTCATACTTGGGGCGGGCAGAAACAACTATTCCAGAGACAGACACCACAAATCATAAGCCCAATCATGAGCCCAATCCTGTATACTTCTTCACTCCAATAGTCCCCCTGAGCTAATTTTCACTTGCTTGGATAATAAATAAGGGCTGAAGGATGAAGGCCTAAATTTTAAATGGATTATTTTTCTGACATTTGTTAGATTACTAGAACAGAGAGGTGTACTGAAAAAGCTTTCTTTCATGTTACATGTGTTTTTAGACTTCTGCTCGGGTAAGGTAAAAAAACAAACTCTATGGGGGGTTAATACTGTGCTTGCAAAAAGCCTAGGGAAGGTTGTTTATCTAAAATCAGCTGTTCCAATTTGATACTTTCATGCAACAGATTTTTTTCTATTTGTCTGACAATCTCCAAATAAAAACTTCTTTTAACAAAAATTGAGACCAAATGTGAATTGATATATTCCTTCAACTTTAACTGGAGTCAGCCCATTTACAGATAAAACCTAGACTGAGACCCATTTTGAAACTTTTTTGTTTAAAGCAGCACAGAAAAACACTGACATAAAAGCTTCACTTCACAGCTTCAACTAAAAAGCACTGCTGAGCTTGTCAGTGTACTGATCACTACTTAAAAGATCACAGGTATCACCCAGAAAATAGGCGTTTTTCAGTTGATTGCAATCTGACTTGAGAAAGTCAGAGGGAAGTTTCACCATGGACCCAGCTCAACAGCACTGGTTAAAATTTTGCCAAGGCCTTTAAAATACGATGAGGTCCTTAAATGCCGGGAAAGGCAGGCAGCACGTGAGCACTGGAGAAGCCCTTTTCAAAGAGGAGCTGATAGGCAAAGAGTTGGGTGTCCACCTAATTGTGATAAGATGTTAAACAGGAATCTGTCTCTCTTTCCAGCAGTGTGATTACGTTAAAGGTGAGTTATAAAGACAATCACACATTTTGCCCTGACAGAACTGCTTTCATAAAAATTGCCCTGTTACAGTACCTTAAAAATAAATCTGTTTTCTTTAAAAAGAGAAAAAAAAAACATATCTGGAAATAAGCAAGGAGGAATTGCCTATAAACACTAATCGACAGAGCAGCAATTTTCAGTTAACCTCTGGACCAAGAGCGATTTATTATGCAGCCGCTAACTTTGGAACTAGACATGGACATCTTTAATTTTACAAGACGCTGCTGGTTTTAATTCTCTTAGGTTGCCTTCGTTTTCTCTCAGGTTCAGTAAAAAAGAGATTTCAGGGCCTCATTCTCCTTTCTCCTCTATTCCCATATGCAAATATATATTCCTACTTTGTTTTCCAAGACACATGGCTGGACAGTGGTGGGAAATCACCTCCAGCTAAAAATAATCCAACTCTTTTGCCAACTTTTAAAAACACTTGATTGTATACAGTACTCAGTAAGAACCTGGCAAGAGCTTCAAGTGCAGAACAGTGTGTGCCATACATATCCTTAGACAAGAGTTTAATCATAAAGATGTTGTTTCCTACCTATCTGCATGACTCTGCCAAAAACAGAGTTGTTGTCCACAGTGCTGCAATTCCATCTTCTATGTCTGAACTGATACTGGCACTCCTTAATGCCCGTCTTTGCACCCTCTCCAATGAACTGCATATGGTCCTGATACAATTGGCAGAGTTTCTTCTGTCCTTGGGAAAGCCCTGCTAGCTGGCTACATAGTGGCTGGGCTCCTATTATATACACCTCTGACATCTGAACAGGGTTCATGGGGTTCATGGGATTCATCCCTAAAGACCTGCATAAAGAAAGATTTGCATTAATAAACGAAAGACTCTAAAATAAAATAAAATATTTTTTTTTAAAAATCTATAAATCCCAAACAGAACTGTATCTTATACATGAGTATACAACTCCTGGTTTTGGTAATAAGTGAGAAAAAAACCCTAAACAAACACTTAAATATGAAACTTTTGTTTTAAGGACAGGACAGAAGTTATTAGTTCCCATCCATGTGGTTATCACCATAAGACTGAAGTAAGACACAGACTTGGAAGACTTGCATCTAGGCAGCCCTTTACCAGCTTAAATTGGCATAGTAAAAATAACAGAAGCTCCAAACAATTGCAAGGCCAGGAAAATAAATAAAGCAAAAATTAAGTCCCCCAAACCCCAATTTGTTTTAACACATATTTTACATTTAAATCCAGACTTTTCAATCTCTTCTACCATAAAAAATAGGGAAACTTTTAGCAAGCCAGGAGTTAGAAACTTGCTACAGACCACTTCTAGCTTCTTCCGAATGACAACACAACAATACAGGCAAGTACATTCACTGTAAACAAAATCAACTTTGTTTTCTTAATTCTGAAAGTGCTCTTCACATGATACATTTCAATTAAAAAGTGGCCATTAATCCACAAAGGATCACTTGAAACAGCAGAGAAACACCTATTTCAAGAACTCTCAACATGAACACTATACAATTTGCCAAAGCAGAAATTTAAATGTACTTCTTTGTAACGAAATATATTTGTAAACATTTGAGTTACAGAAAACTTCAAGCCAAAACTTTAATAAAAGTTTTTACTTGTAAATCAGCATTCTCTCTTTTACATGCAAAATTTCTAAGTGACTTAAAACGGCTTTTTTTTTTAAAGAGACACAATTCCAGTAATTTAAAGATGATAAAATCCACAGAGAATCTACCATTCAGCATTCTCAAAACTGTATTGTACAAGACGAGATGGTGCACATTTACCCTTATTCGACAGACCCGTTCACTTTACTACACAACGTACTACACCGAGCACACCACTCCCCAGCTGCCTCGCTCCAGCGGTACTCCCTCAGAAACAAAGTACGTAAGAAGCACAGAGACATTTAAGCAAGCAAATCTTGACACCCCCTTTTAAAATCAAGTCGATAGGAGATGCTTACCACCAAGAGCTGGCTTCTATTACAACCTGGGTAAAAGAAGAGAAAACGGCCAGAGCCACTACGAGGTACTGAGAAGCCATTGTACTGCCAACTGTCCCCACTGCACCTCCGTGGATTAATACTGCACTGGATTTCTAGAGGGGGGAGAAAAAGGATCAGATTGTTTATTGCTCCTCAGACCATTTTCGAACATTCAAGTTTAAACAACGGAAGTCTCCGGGCCCCTTTTAACTTGACTCTGCCTCGCCGGCCCTTCTCCCCGCCGAGGCTCTGGTGCCAGACTCAGGCACGTCGCGGCTCCCGCTCCACCGGGCAAAACCCACCCCCGCACCCCCACCCCGCCCGCGGACACCGCCTTCCCGGAGTGTCCGCCCGTCCCTCTGCCCCGGCCCCGCCGCTCCCGCACCCCGCCCGCGGCGGGACGGCACCGGACGGGACGGAACAGCGGCCCCGGACACGGGGGACCCCATCCCCGCTGCCCCGGGGCCACAGGCGACGCGCGGGGCCCGGGCCGGGCATTACCCCATCGCTCCCCGTGCCGAGGCCAGCTCACGGCTGGCTAAAGGCGGCTTCAGGTTTGCAAAGCGAGCTCAAGAGGGAGGGGAGAGGCCGGTGCCTCGAGGGGTCGGTTCCGCGGGGGTCCCGACGGCTCCCACCCGGGGACGATGCGGCCGGTCCTCGCCCTTCCCCGCCGGCCGTGGAGGGAGCTCCCCGCCGTCCCCTAAACCATCTCAACCATCTCGCCGCAGCCTCCGGGCTCCCGCTCGCCGCGATCGCCGAGGCAGCCCCGAGCTCCGCGCTGGCGCCGCGGTGACTGCCCCGACGGCAGCCCCGGGGCCCCGCCGGGGCAGGTACCGGCCCGGGGAGGTACCAGGAGCGACAAGGAGCGGCTCCGCGTCCCCACCCGGCCCCCGCAACAACCGGGCTGCCGTCTTGGAAGTCAAACGCTTCCCCCGACAGGTCCCGCGATCACCGTCTGGTCCTCACACGGGACTCTCTCACTCGCTACCCACAGCCATTCCCGGGGTTTATTTCCCCTCCCCTCGGAAGGAGGGGGGGGGGGGGGGGGGGGGGGGGG